ACTCCGTTCAGCTTTCGATAAATACCTATTCTCACTTGCCACCATTGTTCAGCCTCCAGTGAAAAATATTTTCCGAGATATTTCAGTCAGAAGATCAACATACTCCAGCCTACAGATGCACGGTACTTTCAACTCGTGCGCCAATTGAAATGCCTCGCTCTGGGGTGAGAAGACGTGATGTAATGTAGTTGTAGTTTTCATAAAAATCGCAATGTAATTCACCGTAACATCGCTGTCCACATTCTGTTTGAGTTCTTAATTGTCTATGAACCTGAAATATTCAAACTGAAATTTACTACTTCATCATAACAAGAATTCAAGAAGCCTTGATCTCCCCGCTTCGACTCAATTATTGGCACCCCAGAGCGAGGCATATCCATTGGTGCACGAGTTGAAAGTACCGTGCATCGGTAGGCTGGAGTATGTTGATTTTCTGACTAAAATATCTCGGAAAATATTTTTCACTGGAGGCTGAACATTGGTGGCAAGTGAGAATAGGTATTTATCGAAAGCTGTACGGAGTTTAATGTCCATTGSATGAAGTTAAAGGTGTATCAGAGGCCGTASTTTAGAGCCGGTTGGCAAATTTCGATCGCTGACTTACATCCCTTGTCTATGCCTTGTAGCATCGTTCATTTTGTGATAGAAACTTGATAGAAACTTGATAGAAAGTTAGTTCTCTGTTAGAGCTATCTTCTGTCTTAGTTCCATYTTTGAATTTAACTTRAAACTATATCGGGGAATAGCCTTTTCGCTCTCAGCCTTGGCTGAACACCTTATTAGTAAATCAAACTTTAGTACGTCAAGKTTATACTCTATCCAATCGTATTGCAATGTAGCCTGCCAATTTGCTGTCACCCTGACTTGTAAAACATTCACTATATAGGTAGATTTACATTTTGTATAGGTTAGTTGTTTCTTTAGTTGGTTAATTCGTTCAATAGTTGGTAGCGCTAAACTCAGTGTATACAACATCTTTTTCAAGTTTAGTATTAAATATATTTTGATCCAGTACCGGCTCTTCCTGAGTAAATCCCACAAGTTACAAGACAAGARCCCCTGTAACAAATTGGCGGAGAACCTCGGGTTTCTTTTAAACATATCGAGAGTCGTGGTGGACGAACCAGGACCTTTGGTCCTAACTCCGGGTGTTCCTGAAGACAAAAAAGGGCGCTTTGCAAAAAGGTATGAGATTCCTTTGTTAACACCTCAGCCTAGTTCCTTTGATAGTTTTTCTGGCACATGGATGCCAGCTTCATTAGGTATAGTTGCTCTAATTTCTTATGCTTTTTCTGTGTCAATGACACTTCTTACGACGATGAATCAATCATATTTCTTAATTGAAAAACTCAAGTCAAATATAGTAATACATCATAGCAGGAATCGCCAYGACCGGCGATTTACTGGAGACGGAGAAARGAAGTTTTCTAGTGACAACGTAAACTAATTATATTTCAGTAGGTTTCCATGCAATAGCTTGTGAACCGTTATCTGTAAACCAATAAATCTTTTTTCAGTGAATACTTACATGTAATTGTTTGAATCTCATTGATATCCAACGCTTTTTTAATGACCAAGATTCTCTTAATGTACCCATAGAAATTTTTGRKAGCTCCCAAAGTAAGCTTCATCTTGTTTGTGACTGAGGTATGTATGCTGCTGTTCCAAGTTGAAAAATATATCCCATCCATGACGAAATACCGAATACCAGTAATGATATTAACACTGAGAGCAAAATGGTGCCAGACATCAAAATCCATACTTTAAACAAATTAATAAGCAGTGAATGAATGAATGATTAACGAGAATAAAACAAAGAAGTAAAAGAAAATATAAACAATATTTCAATATATTTTTATCTTCAAAACATTGCGTTGTGGACATTACATTGCGGTTCTTCAAAGCTTTTGGTATTTTACTGTCATGTAAATGGGTCTGTATTCAACAATTGTCTAATTATTTTGTTCGCTNTGATATATATCACGCATAAATGATTGTTCATATACATTTTATTTGAAATGTAGTCACTCTGATCCCTTCTGGCGATCATAATYCTTAGCGTTAAAACAATAGAATGTTTTGATGTGACGTCATAATGAACTAGGGCAATTGAAACGAAACAGGTCCGAGAAGACAGAAAACAGAACTTCTTAATTTGGTAATTCGAAACATATCCTAACAAAATGGACCMACGGTTAGCTTTTTTGGCTATGAAATGTGGGCGGGTGGTACGGGCACCCCAAAYAGWCATCGAGAAGTTGGAATAATCTTGACATGCAATAATGGAGAACAATAGATTAAAGAACTGATATAGTGTGTGTGTTTAACAATATTACTAAATCATAAACAATAAAGCAATATGCAGCAATTATGATCTTTTTTGCACATATTCCAARTATATATAATATATATCAGAAATAATGGGATATCATTGCTGATATTTTTAAGTTTCCTAGCACAAGTACTTTCTGAAAAAAAATATTGGCGATGATATCTCATAATTTCGGATATATTTGATATATTTCTGAAATATGAATCAATAAAAGGTATGTAATGTCCACAACGTATATGTAATGTCCACAACATTTTACAGCTAAAATTACTCAAAAAATCGAGGCTATAGAATAAAACGTTTATGCTAAAATAGTTGTACCATAAATCTAACATAGGATCCTCAATAGCATTTTAGTGTCTCTAACCAATTATTCATGAGATTGATTAGAAGGTTTAAACGTTGTGGACATTACGYAATGTCCACAACGCAAATTCAATCATTCCTCCTCTAGCGGAAAGTTGATATTTTGCAAATTGGTCATGGTCATGTGATAAGTGTAGATGATGGCTACCTATCAATATCCAATAACGAAATTCATTCTTTTTGGYCTTTATGTTCTGGCCCTAGAAAAGGYAAYTTAAAAATATTGAACTTTTCCAAGATAACAAAAGGTTAACTTTCATGTCTGATCATGGGCAAGAAACTTTAATATATTTTCAAATTTAAATAATTCGGGTCTTGGGGTTTCTAATG